AACTAAGAAAAAGACAGAACAAGATTTATTGATATATATATATATATATATATATATATATATATATATATAAATTAATAGATAATATCAAAACCCTCAAATGATCATAAACTGGAGTTTGAATTAAATAAAAAAAAATTCTCTAATACTACATACCCTGTTTGCTTATGGATAATTCAGCTTGTGTTGATACTCTGCTGTTATAGGATTTCAGAAAAGACAAAAAATATATTTTATATCATGCATTTGTCATGCCGCTAACAATAATATTTAAAAATACTTACTGAAAAAGGTTTCCTGATTGTAATAGAACCATCTTCCTCTGTCGTTGCAATCAGGACCCTGAATCGATTTTCTTTACTTGTGTTTTCATCCTCTTGTAAGGGGAGGTAAATATAACAATAAACCTGATGTGATACCATATAACAACAACTTCTAAACTATATAAAGATTCACGATACTTTAACAACTCCTTTCTAGACTTTGGGAAACATAGTATAAAAGAAAATATTACAGCAGACTTCTACAAAATACACTGCTAGTTTTATTACTTTTATAGAAAATGAGTATGAAATTACACAGTATGGGAGTACCAAGATATGTAAATTTTAGTGCAACTACTGTATGGATATCATCAACACATCTATGTTCTTGAGAGAATGTTCCTATGAAAACCATTTAGAAAAGTGATTAACATCTAATACATCACTCATGATATATGAAATAAATGCTGGCTGTCACACATAACCTAACTATTGTGGCTCATTAGGATTATGCCATCCCAGATAAGTATTTAGTTACACAGTGTATTTGAATATTTTATTCTATAACCCCCTACATTCAATTGTCTTAATTCTTGTTGGTTTTCGTTAATGTTTCTGTCAAGCACGAGAACCTGTTACTGATGATTTCAGAAGGTTCATTATAAAGATATTATAAGAATCAAATATAATACAGCACATGTGACAGGAAGTCTCACTTCATTATGAACTGTAAAGGTGAAACAGAAAAATTCACATTAAACTTACAAGCTCAACAGCCACTAATTATATCTGATGACCACAAGTGTTTTCTCAGCGTTATTGATATAATGTTTAGACAGTCTGTACAATACATATATTTTATGGTTTAAAGATTTCTCTGAATCAGTCATCTCTCTTTTAACCCTGAATGTACGAAACTGATGCATTGTAATCTTCGTAAGCAAGAAAATAAAACAAGTATATTTAGTTAGCTATACTAATTTAATCCAGGTTGAGTTTTGATCTAAGTAAGTAGCTTGCTGTAACTGGAAGTTAACATTAAACCTTCAATTGTTATAAATATATCATGGGTACACTAGTCATTGCATGACATTATTAGACATGTGGAAAGATGAAACTGTAGCAAACCAAACTTTGAAGAATAAGTAGAATTTACCTTTCTGCAAGATAAAAGCTGGGTAGTTTTTTTGGAAATATAATGAAGGTAGACTGGTGATCAAATTTCCATTTATATTCCATAATGCAGATGAACCATCAGCACATCCAGCAAAGATGTAACCTCCCTGAGAAACAAATTTATGTAGTTACTGATGAGTTACAGCTTATGTATCTAATTGTCTGTATTTGTACAAACATAAACTTACCAGCTACACTATAAATGTAACAAAAATATTCATTTTTATGTTCTGCTTTCATCTTTAAGTCATGATTGTGAATATACATGCAGTTATTTTTTACTTTCATCATATCAGGTTTCACATAACTTAAGCTATCTGGACAATCAAAATGGCTGTCTCAGATACATAAAAGCTTTAAAAACACATCAACAAAACATTTTTAGCAGAGATAGTAAAACTCCTAATTATTCATATAAGTAAGTTATTAGATTGTATGATTTCAATAATATAGTATTTTTTCACTGCAAAGCTACACAATAGGCTATCTGCACTCTGTTCCACTTCGGGGGGAATCAAACCCCAAATTTTAGCATTATAAGTCTGTAAACTTACTGCTGAGCCACTGGGTGAAGGTTTAAATAACAGAAAATTTAAGTGGTAAGTAACTTATTATCTTAGGTAATTATTTTGCACAATGAAACAAATATTACTGTAAGGACTTTAACATACATTGAAACAATCAAATAATGTGTTATGCATGGCAAGATTGCTTTTAAGCAGATCAATTACAGCTCTTTGTATTTGAATTAAATCATACACAATTACTTTACCTAATATATTTTGTAAATGGTTAGATAGACAATGATATCATTTTAAGATAAGGCAGTAAAGCTTTTAATAATACCAGTTGTTCTTCTTTAGTCAGTATATTTATGACATAAACATAACGCTGTAGTTTCAAATCAATTTCTGTCACCTGCAGAAATCTACTTTACTTTTAGTAAATGCTGTTTATTCATACAAAATTTTCATTAAACTAAAATATACATATATATTGTATGTCTCATAATATTAATTTGATATACAATTTAAACAGGTTGTGTGACCATAATTTTAAACTCAAAATCACCTTTTTTAAAAAAATATATATAAAATTTGTACCTTAATAGAAACAACTACACACTCATCTTAAAAAAGAAACAAGTATAGGGTATGGTTAACTAAAGTTAATGCACCTTAGTATTAATTTCATTAACTGGCATTTTCTCCCTGTTTAGCAACTTAAGCAACACACGAGCTAAATGATTAAGCCAAAGACCCCAAGGTTCAGGCAAAGCCATCCCTAATTTTGAACTACCAACTGGAGAAAAGGCATTCAGTGAGATGAATTGTCATCTATACAGCTACTTTTACTGGATGACTGATGTCAGAGTTATAATGCTTTCACAATTAGAGCTGTGGAGTGCATTTTCAAACCTTGGACTCTAAAATTTGAAACATGGCATGCCCCAATCTGACTGACAGATATTACATATGTAATATATTGCCTTTTTTAGTTCTACTACAAATACAGAAGCAAATGTGAGACTCGTACAAGTAATATATCTCTTATATGAGCTATTAGTAGCCAAGCAGATAGGGGTGGCCTTGTTTGAAAAAATGCAACATGAATATATATATATATAAAATAAGCACCTCTTTTGCTACATAAACAACAGAAGATTGTAGTCCATACAACACACAGGGTTCCTTCTCTGTTTTAACATCCCAAACTCTCACAGAAGCATCTGCACTTCCAGTAACCTATTGAGAGAGAGAATGTTATAGAATGGAGAGACTTTACTAGATTTCATAGTTTAACAGTAAATGCTTCAAAACAGACACAGCACATGTTATGAACAGTAAACTAGGCTGATTAGCAATGGTCCTAGCACTATCAATTCATTATACAAGAAAATTTAAGAAACTTGGTTGACTTATGCTCAACAGTAAAAAATATTATTGAAAAATGTGTATTTATTATGTAATCATTTTGATGTTTATGAAGCCTATGTAAATTTCCTGTTTAGGTACAGTCCTTCAATTTAAAAAAATACATGTTTATAATCTGCACATGAATCTTAGCTAACAACCACAACTTGACTGAAAATGGGTCACACGATACAAGTGAATCCAACCTAATAATCACAATTTGACTGACAATGGGTCATAAGGCACACAAGTGAATCTTACCTAACAATCACAATTCGACTGACAATGGGTCATAAGGCACACAAGTTAATCCTACCTAACAACTGTAACTCAACTGAAAATGGTTCTTAAGACACATTTACACATGCAGGTTAAAACATTCATACATATTCTACTCCTGGGCATGAGAAAATAGAATAAAATGCAAAAACAAAACTTAAAAAGTCAAATGATCTAGGATGTCTATTTATATATAGTATTCACAAATTGAATCAAGGAACATCAAAAGTAGCTTAATGCTATAACAACTTCAGAGAAGATGCACTCTGCCGGTTCATATCATTCGGTTGAAACTACAGAGTATTTATTTATACCTAGTTTCTGTTCTTGTCCTGATGTAAAGTACAGAGGAATCTAAATTTTCATTTAAGATATTTACATATTCAAAAGTTTGTTAATAACTCAAGGCTGCTATTAAACAAATATACAAAAGTAAGAAAAAAAAACAGTTTGAAGGCTTTCAGTACATTTGTCAAAAAGCCACAAAAAATACACAAATAAAATTAAAAACAAACAAAGGATTTGTTGGTAAGCAGAAAAACCAGTGGGTGATAGATTAACAATGGTACCAGTTATCCACTCTTGGAAGAGGCCAACTATGACACAAGTTCAAATTTTGTTAAATGTACAGCTTGTGCAATATTTTCATTGACAGTATGTACATTTGAAGAATTTAATACATTTTTTTGAAACACACTGTGTCTGAAAGGATTATACATTTTTGAATCACACTATATCACATGCTTACTAAGACTAAACCAATCTATTGTTATTGTTTATGTTTTTCCAGAGCACTCCATCCACTTAAAGTCATGCTATAACTGCATCACAGACATACCTTTTTCTTTTATACACAATGGATTTTGAAGGAAGGAAAATAAAAGGACTCCAGGACTTTTCAAAGACTTGTGTGTCTGCTTCCATTATACTAACTGGTAAGAATATCCCAGCATCAGGTGTAGTTTATCACAGTTGTTAAATTTTAGTGATTAAAAAAATGGGTTATTTCTATATTATCTGAATAAATGGGGATATAAGCATATGAAAATAGGGAACCACAAATATTTTTGGTACCAGGCCCATTAAAGGTTAATCTAGTCTTGGAAGACACTATGAGAAATTTAAACTGGAAGACTGTGAGTCAAAGACAAACAAACAAATCTGAAAAGCTTAAACTGGCCCAAAATATGCCATTACTATAAAGGCATTGAGAACAAAATATAAGATATAAAAATTGATAACCTTAAAAATGTTTAAAAAGCAAAAACTAAACAAGCAATTATAAAAGAAAAAAAAGAGTACATGGTAATTCAAAATCACAGAAAATAATAAATTAACAGAAGGTGATAATGTGGCATGAGTGAAAAAAATTAGAAGAATGTTTAGGTTTGGGTAATATTAAATTTCACATGTAATATACAAATATTGCACATTTATAATGTATACCAAGTCTACTTAAAGACAAGTAACTTTAATATATTGCAAAGAGTTAGTATTATGCAACTTAAGTGTTTGCAAATCAGTTTAGTTTATGGTAAGAGTGAGTGTGCTTAAAAGTATACTTAGAAATGATTCGGGTAGCCAATTGTTTTTGCTCTTTTTTTAGAAAACTACCATAGAGAGACTTTATTCGTTTGCTTGTTTGTTTTTTGGAATTTTGCCCAAAAAATATTTGAGGGCTATCTATGTTTCCCATCCTTACTTCTGAAGTAATCAACAAGAGGGAAAGCAGCTAGTTAACACCAACCAATGTCAACTCGTGTGGTACTCTTTTATTAATGAAAAGTGGGATGGACTGACACATTATAAAACTCCCACAACCAAAAGAGAGAGCATGTTCGGTAACAGGATTCAAACTTGCTTCCTGCAGAGTGCGAGTTGAGCACGCTAATCACCAGGCCATGCCAAACCTAGGAGACTTGAAAATAAAATCTGAAAAGAAGGATGAATTAAAATGATAAATATATATTCATATTTCTGAGAATTCACCAAGTTTTTCAAATCTAGGGAAATGAGCCTGTCATAGTAAACAAAGCTCTATAACGGTACTAGAAATGGCTTACATAGCTCTGGTATCTTCCCAACAGTGAGAAAACATTTAGAAAAATAAAGTGTACTACACATTATTCTTCAGTTTTTATTAATGAAGATTTAAGCAATATTTCTCAATCTAAACAGTTTCTAGATGGAAACAAGATTGAACCACAAAGATCACATTAATTCTAAGCTTGTTAAGAAAATATTTGGAAGTTGAATAAATGATAAAGCTCTTGGACCAGATAATATTTCTCCAAGGGTTTTGAAAGAGGTTAAGGAATGGATATGCGAGCCACTTGCTATCATTGTTCTAAATCCTTGAATAGAAGATTGCAGCTTGACTAATGTTACTACTCTTTTCAATGAAGGGGACAAAAACTGTCCGAGTACTTATAGGCCTGTTAGTCATACATCAGTGGTGGGAAAAGTTTTAGAAATTCTGATAAAAGATCCTTTGGAAAGTCACTTAACAAACTTATAAATGTTGTTGAATAGTCAGCATGGTTTCGCTGAGGAAAATTCTTGCCTTACTGATCTCTTGACATTCTTTGAAGAGGTTACTTACATAGGTAAGGGTAAGGTGGTGTATCTGGATTTTCAGAAAACATTTGAAAAGGTGCCACATAGGTGCTTGTTGAAAAAGTTATCTCTCTAGTTGTGGGGAATAGGCTGGCTCATTCGATAGAAAACTGGCTGGATGGATGAAACCAGATGGTTGTTATAAATGGATTAATGTTACAAGTGAGGTACATTAAAGTTTTGGGTGTTGCTGACTGTGAGAAGGATGTTGTTGCTTTACAAAAGGATTTGGATTAGTTAGTGAGTTGGGCAAATAAATGGCACATTGCTTTTAATTTTAATAATTGCAATGTAATGCATGTGGTATATCACAAGTTGAAATTTAATTTTGATTGAAATTACTTTAAAAGTGTTATGGAAGAAAAAGATCTTGACATTCTGGTTGATCATTTTTTTAAGCTTTCCAAACAATGTGCTATTGCTAGTGGCAGGGCAAATAGGATTTTCGACTGTATCTACAGAAATTCTGAATACACATCTAAAGAGGTTATACTGTCATTCTATAGGTTACTGGTTAGGCCACATATGAAGTGCTTATTACCTCAGAAAGAACACTGAATAGTTGGAAAGGATGATCAGAGGAAGAGTGCTGCCTTTGGATGTAGATGCAGTTAATTTAAGGGAAAGCTTGACAAATATTTGTATGATAATGGCTGGCTTTGAGTTCTTTTTTTTAAGGGTTTAGTTTAATTTAGTGGATAGGTCAGCCCAGATGTACCAAAAATTTTCTTGTTGTCTTATAATGTTATGTCATCATTAACGTATAAATAAAAAAAACATTTTCCATTCTACTTTATGGCAAAAACGTGTTTAATTTTTAATTTTTAAATTTCAAAGTTCTTCACTTTTGCTACAAGTTTTAAGCATAACACACTTAACCAAATATTTATAAGAGATAACACACATTAAAGAGAAGCAAGTTGCAGCCAGTTTATCCCGTTCATAAAAATATATGAAATCTAGAGCAAGAGGAACTTGTTCTGAACTTACCAAGAAATTATCCTTTAAACTGCAGGATGTGATCCAGTCTAAATGGTAGTCGTTTAGAGACTGTTCTAAAACAAGGTTTACAGATGTGTTACCTTCTGTCTCTGAATCAGCTACAACCACCTTCCACTTATTCACTTTCTAGAAAAGAGATAAAGCATTTTATAAACATTTTATTGACCCATTTATCTGTGCTATAAGTTTAGAAATCTAAACATTCCTTAACACAAAACCAAACACTGGTATGCACTGTTTCACTCTTAATGTTTGACAGCAATTACTTTTCAAAAGAAACAAAAACCTAAAAAATCCTGAGATTCATATAAAGATATATGAGAATGAGTAGTATGGCTTTCTCCAAAGAAAATAACAAATATATGTATATATAAGCTATAATTGGTTATAACAAAAACCAATACCTTACTCTGATATTTTTACTTAAAAATTTCTTGGAAAATTTACCTAAAATTTAAAAAATTACTTACTCGATCTAAACTTGTTGTGAAGAACAGATCATCGTTCAGCATGGCAAATCCTGAAATAGGTCCTTCGTGTGCAGTCACAGTACTAAGTACAGCACCCCGACTAAAGAAAGAAACATTCCATAAAAAATGAAACTACCCTGTACACATATACAAGTATTTCAAACATAAATGATGAAATCAAGTTTATTTTACTCACTTCTACTAAATACCTGGTGTTTTCAAGTATGATCATTCATTTCCCTACAGTTAAGTGTAGTAATCACTCTAACAAGAGGTTCAGCAGAAAATATATTGCAGGTTTAACTTATCAAGATTAAATAAGAAGACTGGACAACAATTAGGTCACTTTGTAAAGACTAAAGGTCAGTTTTATATTATTGGATATGGAAAATGAGTGCATGTGTGCTGCATCATTGTAACTTCTGTATTGTTAGCCATGCATGGCTGAAAGGTCAATATAATAAAAATCATAAATATATATAAATGTATAATTTTATGAGATTTAAGTTATTTAGTCTAAGCATTTATGTTATAATTTGTAGTCATTCTAGAATGAAAAATGCATAATTTGTAGTTATTTCCTAATGGACCAAACCCATTCCTGAGTTTCGTTACTGAAAATAACAGATAAAATATAAAGTTTTTTTTCTTAAGAAACATTTGAT